AAAGTGGTGACTGGGACTTGTTTGAATTTTGGACCCATTTTTGGCTCTAATACTCAAGACAATAAGAGGAGCTTCACAAATGGATCCTGAAAAGCAGCAGGTGGACTTGCAACCCAGTTCGTGTCAGGACTTTGACTGGTAACAGGACTGCAAGCCATGCTCCTGTCTTTGGTTTCTTCTTCTAGCTTCTCCACATCTGCAGCATCAAGAGAGAATATCAAGTGCAAGGCATTTCACTTGCAGTCATGAGCCAGGCATTTTATGCTGCACCAGAGGTGAGGCCGTTAGCACAAGATAAAACTAAGACTTTCATCATCACTGCTCTGTTTTAATCTTAGAGATGTTTGTTGTTTCACTTACAGAATTACTAAAGTTTCCTTTAATAGGACCTGAAAAACCTGGTTAAACTGATTTCTTTCATTCCTTTTTCTCAGATGCTGGCTTCCTTCCCTTCCTGCATTAGTCATCCCAACAACCTGGTTTTGATAGCACAGTCACTACGGATCACCCGCATGCAATATTCAGAAGCATCCTCCACATTCACCAAGGTAAGGATTAGAAACAATGACAGAGAGCAAATGCTACACACTGAGCGAGGCAAACAGTAAGGTAAACCAGTGGAGCATGTCAGAATAAAACTTCCTTCAGCTCTGCTGCAATTCTCTACAAGTTTCACATGTTATGTGAGATCTTTGGTGACCTTCAGGTCATATCCTCGGTCTCTTACTTTCTCTTCCACATCTCCTAAGGGTTGTTTTCACCCTCCCTCACATTATTCTCTCTTCACTGCTTGAGCCTTTCCTCTTCTTGACATCAGTCAGCACCACTACCTATTTCTTCTTTGCCTTTCTAAGGATTGAGGTCAGTCTTAAAACAATGATCTGTCTGAAGAAGACAGAAGAAGTCCCCTGAGAACTCTTTCTTGCATGTGTTTGCTGGCTGAATCACACTGTTCTGTGGCCATGAACAGATGGCCAGAGCCAGTCCTCCAGGCTGCCAAAATTGATTCATATTTCCAGACAAGTGACAAGAGTATCCTACCTTTTGGAAGAACAAAACTTCTCCTCTGCAAGCTAAAATGAGAGTTCGAGGTTTCTGATAAATCCCATCCTTGAAGGATGGATTTCTTCTGGGTAAATTCATGCAGTAAAAAAGACAGACATCTAAAAAAGGGAGACCTGAAAAATCCAACATGTTGATTCTTCCTTTTTGAGTCTGCTCTTGTTAAAAAACACAGAGAGAGGGAATGGAAACAGATTTTTCTCAATGAAACATTAACTAACTAAGAAATTTGCATTTAAGGTAAAAGCTCAAGAGGAACTAAAAGGCAAACTGGAATTTCCCTGTGGGAATAACCGATTTGTTTGGCAACTGCACAAGTATCAGTGATTCAGTATCAGCAATGAACAAGAAAAAGAGTACAAGGCAAAAGGAAATAAGCAACTTACATGTGTTCCAGCTCTCTTTGTGTATCTTCCAAAGAAATGCCCAGCAGCACACAGAGGCCTCGTCCTATTGAGCTGATCTGTTCACCACCCACTGGGGAAGGAGAGGGGGAAAAGTAAGGTTAAATGCACTATCTTGTTTTATGGCACTGGTTTTAGCTGGAAAACTGTTCATCCACCAGAGAAAACAGCATTTCCAAACCCTGCTTCTCTGTGTTAAGTTTGTAGAGATTAAAGATCACATAGAAGCATTCTTTCAAAAGCTTCCCAGCGTCACAAATTCTGTGTGAGCTTAGGATGCTTACTCCAGCACTTGTTGAAAGATTTTTACTACAGTTGGATCAGCTGTGCTAACCAGAGGGGTGGTAGAACTCTCTCAAGATTTGTGAAAATTATCCACCTGGTTGATGTCACTAAATTTACTCAAGTTCTCTACTCCACCATTCCCTTCATACTTTGTATTCGTTGCGAAAAGGTGACTTCTACATTCTACCCTCACGAATTTTTTGAAATGTGACTTTTAATAATCTGCAAATTCTGCCCTTCTAACTGGGAACATAACCCCTTTAATGACATTTACAATAAAACACAAACCATCACAGATCTATTTTGTTTTCCTAAGAAATGTTTTAAATTATCTTAATTATCTTAAATTATTTTGACATGAGATGGTTGATTCTGAGATCACTGTAGTAAGATTAGGTGCAGCCTTAAAACTGAGATAAGCACCAGTTACCCAGCTGCTAAAACTGCATCCAGGCTCAAGACTGGGCAAAAAGCTCCAAACACCCTATAAAATGAAAGAAGATCAGGACTCCAGCAAAAGCTGAAAGTTTGTGTCTCTGCACTAGTGGCCATATCAGGACTATTCCCAACGGGCAGAAGCAAACCCGAGGGAAAAATTCCTCACAAAGACTCCTTCCATTTGATCTGGGTATGAGTCCTCCAGCTCAGTAATCTGTTCTGCTAAGTACAGTACCCTCCCCCTCAAACTCTTCAACAGCCAAAAAAACCCAGTTTAAATTATTCCCCAGAGAGGTGGCAGCAAGTCAGCAAGAACTCCAGTGCTGATGGGATCTGATCACCGCTGTGCCCACAGTACCAGCTGTGCACAAAAACTGCGCCCCTTATACAGGCGTGCTCTGTCAGTGCCCTTTGCTAGCGTGAAGGCCATCCTGCTGCACACTTCTCGGCCCCCGGGCCGAACAGCACAACTCGCTGTGGTGGTCACAGGCTCACCGCTGACATGCACACGCAAAACTGTGACCGTGGGTGCCAGCACGTGTTCGTGATGCGAGGAGGCGGCTGGGATGGCTGCTCTGACACGCACAGGCAACGAATGTGGAGCAGTCACTGGTTCGGCCCTGCCACACGAGCAAGCCGCGCACGGTGGCGGTGGCTGTCGGGGCACACCTGCACACGCTGGGGGCTCGCACAAGGGATGCACTTGCAGCCCACACATCGGCGCGCCACAGCGACCGGGGAAGCCCCGCCAACACAGACACACACCAAGCCTGACAGAATTCAAGGAGCCTTTGGACAATGCTCTCAGGCACACGGTTTGACTCCTGCGGATACCCCGTGCAGCGCTAAGAGTTGGGATTAGATGATCCTTGTGGGTGCCTTCCAACTCAAACAAGCATTTTTCTGTAAACACCCCAACAAGCAATGCAAAGATGACTGCGACCGTGGTACCGATACAAAGGCACTCGAGGAGGCGACTGCAGCGGGACCGCCAGCCCGCGCCGGCAAGGTGAGGATGTACACAGACCTCAGTACGCAGACCACACTCAACCCATGAGGGAGCCGGGCTGGGCCCCCGCGGGAGAAGCGAGCGAGCCGGCCCACGCCAAACTCACGCAACGCGACGAGGAAAGGGGAGCGCACATACACACACACATACACGCACACATACACATACACACACACACACACACACACACACACACACACACGGCCGCCCCCAGCCCTCCCGGCCGGGGCGCACTGACCTGTGACGCTGGCCTGGGCCACCCGCTGTACGATCGCCTTCATGGCGCAGCGCGGGCCGGCGCCGAGCCGTGACAGGCGGCGGGGGCCGGCAAGGGCGGCCGCTCCCTGCCCGCCGCCCGCCCGCACCGCCCCCCGGCGGCCGGGAGGTGCTACTGCAGCCCCCCGGCACTCCGTACCGGGCGCCACCAACAGGGGCTGCTTCCAGAGTGGAGGGACAGGTGGGTGCAGTGGAGGTTCCAGGTGAGCGCAGGACAGGTGTGTGCAGATGTGCGCACAGCAGGTGTCCACAGGTGAGCGCAGGGCAGGCGTGTGCAGATGTGTACATGTGTGTACAGGCCCAGTGTCTACAGGGAAGGTGTGTTCAGGGCAGACGTGTTCTGGGCAGGTGTGCATGGACGTACACAGGACACGTGCGTAGAGGAGTGCACGGGACAAGTGTGCGTAGGACAAGCACGCATGGGCATGCAAAGGACAGGTGTACACAGGTGTTCAGTGTGTGGAGGGGCTCCCTTCCTCTAAAGGGGAGTTAATGTCTGTAGGATTTTGTGGGGTACCTACAAAAAGGAGAAAATGCAGGTAACCAGTGGCACCTCTACAGCAACAGCTGTAGGGACATGAGGCATTGCCCATAGAAATCAGCAGCTGAGAGTAGCCCTCTGGAAAAGGAGGTAGTAGCTGTAGGGACCAGAGAAACCTAAATGGAAAGGTGAGGCTGTTAGGTGCATGGATTGGGTGGGACTTGTGTTATAAAAGTTCCTACAGAATTATAGAATGGTTTGGGTTGGAAGGGACCTTAAAGATCATCTAGTCCCAACCCCCCTGCTTTGAGGCCTTTGACTACACCAGGTTGCTCAAGGCCTTATCCAAAACCTTGCCTTGAATGCTTCCCCAGCTGGGGCATCCACAATGTCCCTTGGCAATCTGTTCCAGTGCCTCGCCATCCTCCCAGTAAAGAATTTCTTCCCAATACTTACCCTACATTTTCCCCCTTGTCCTATCACTACAGTTCCTCATGAGGAGTCCCTCTTCAGCTTCCCTGTAGGCACCCTTCAGATACTGGAAGGATCTGGAACCTGAGGTGTGTGGACAGACAGCTTTCCATATGGCAAGATGGAAGACCTTAGAGAGATTCATGTGGGTTAGGACTGGGGGTGTCCTAAAAAGGCTGTAGGGAGAGCCTTGATAGAAATGGGGAGGTGGGGCAGGAGTAGGTAGAAGCCCTTACAGAAATGAAGTTCTGCCAGTGCAGAGTCTTGGGTCAACTCCCCCCAAAAGGGAGGTCATGTCCATAGGGACTGGAGGAAGCCCCTGGAAAAAGGAGGGGCTGGGGGCAGAGCTCGAGAAGAGGAAGTTGAGGCTGCAGAGATCCCCTACAGCAATGAGAAACGAGGGGAAACATCAACAGAAAATGGTGGCCAGGAGCTGGGAAAGGAGGTGATGAATACAAGGACTAGAGAAAACTCTACAGATGAACATTGGTTATGGTCACAGACCTTGTATCCTACAAGGGGGCATAGCATGTATAAGGATCAGGAAAATCCCTATAGGAACAAGAGCCTGGAGCAGAAAATTTAATAGCTTTTTATCTCGCAGTAACATTTCTGCACTTGTAGTTCATAAACTTTTATTTGAAACACGAGTAAGAACTCTTGTGCCTGAAACACTAAACTACGCTTCTTCCCATTTACTCATTGTTCTTCAAGTATTCACTTCAGAGCTGCTCAGTTGAAAGCCATCCCAGGTACACTCTGGATCATCCAGGTACATCCTGCACACCAGCTGGGAAATCAACTTCACACCCGGTCAGAGCATTGGTCATGGGACACCAGGCAGCACACAGGTTCATTAACACCTCACAGTACACCTGGGTGAACCCAGTTCATGTTCAGCAACTCCGATACATGCACAGAGAACAGCAGTGACACAAGCAGACGAGAAGGTTTCCAAGTCCAGCAGAGTGGTGTCCAAGACAGAGCTGTTGCTTCAGCAATGCAAGGGGACAATTTTCCAGTGGTGGTCTGGTGTAAGGCACTGGGATGACATTCTCAGAGCCCCAACACAATGTTCTGAGCTTTCAGGCAGCTCACTTCTCAGAAGGAGGGCTGCCACTAGAATCAAAGAACGATACCACACGCCTGAGCAGTCGAGTAATAGGAGGCTGAACGTCTTTGTATACTATTTCTGTTCTCACTTGGAATCCTAAAGGTGTTTCCGAAGTGTATACTTCCTTGCGGGGTGCTTGGTTCGTCTGAGGATCATTTTCACTCTCTAAGGAATAGGGGGAGGGTAAGAGAGGAAACAAAAGACAGCACAGTAATAAAAATGTTTCATGCCTTCATCATCGCACAACAGCAGCCACATGGGCAATCAGTCTTCTTTTCCCCTTCCCTCAAATTCTGAGGAGTAGACAGCAAAGATCTGGTAACTGGGTAGTCAGAAAAAGTGATTTACTAGGGTATGTTAGATACATGCACTGGCACTGGACAAGAATCAGTACTACATTATTCAAAATAACAACTGGCTTCCAAGTTACCCACATTAAAGCTAGCTCAAGCAGTTTAATGCAGAGCTGACCAAAGGTTAAAGCACTGTCCAAAGGCCTCTTAAACACCAACAGGCCTGGAGTGTCGACCACTTCTCTGGGAAGCCTGTTCCACTGACTATCCTCCCGGTAAAGACATGCTTCCCCATGTCCAGCCTAACCCGCCCCCAGCACAGCTTTCACAGCGTAAATAAAAGCAACAGTTTGGGAAGACCGCTGATGTGACGTCCGACGAAGCACACGCTTCTCCCTTCAACAAGGCATTTATCTTCCATCAGGGTTAACCCATCCGGGCTGCCAGGGGCCGGTTCGCTCACCCAGCCCAAGCAAAGGCCGCGCTCCGGCTGCCCCACAGCTGCTGATCACAGCTGGGTTCTGAGCTATCACGCACTACAACTACGTGACCATGACCGGAGTACAAAACGAAGCGAGTCAATCTTGAAAAAAAAAGACTGCTGCTGTCACTTCCACACCCAAGCGCCTCGAGGGGCGGTTGGGCGGTCGGGCGTAGTGCCGGGGCAGCGCGGCGAGGGCAGCACCCGGCCCTACCTTCCCCAGCCCAAGTGCGCGGCGTCCCCGGAGGCGACGGCGACACCTTCCCTCGGTACCCGCTCGCCCCAAGCTCCCTCAGGCAACCACCGCCCCCGGACATGGGAAACTCCTCTCCTGAGCGAGGCCCCACCTCCGCCAAACCCCCCACTCAGAGGCCCAGCCGCGTCACGCCTTCACCCGCGCCCCGCCGAGGTGACCTCCGCCGGTCCCGGGACCGCGCCAGCCCGTACCGGGGCCGTCATCGCCGCCGCCGCCGTGGCGTGTGTAGTACATCATCCCGAACAGCGCCGTCCACCCGCCCACCGAGTACAGCAGCGCCGCCCGCGCCTTCCACACCGCCGCTCCCATGGCGCCCCAGCAAGGCCGGCGCTCGTTGGCCGCGCCCCGCCGCCAATGGGGAGGCGCGCAGGGCGGGGGCGGAGGCGAAGGGAGGAGGAAGAGGAGGAGGAGGAGGGAGGAATCACCCATGGCGCGTACACCTGAATTCGGGAACGGCACTGAGGAGTGGTGCTCTCACCTGATTTTATTTTTCATTAACACAGGCCGCTGGTTGCTAAAAGATACTTTTTAAGAACGCACGACGTTAAAATTAAGCCAAGGATTGTCAAAAATCTCTGTTGTTCCTTCAGGTCTGATTACAGTGTGAAAAATTTAGGGTAAGCAGAATATAGACAAAAGGGAATACGAATAAGTTAGAAAGGAGCAGTAAAAAACTCCCCCCGAATATTTATTTCATGTAATTCTTAAAACCCCTAGTTTAAAAGAGAGAAAAGGAAATGTAACTAAACTGCTCCATTTCTGTCATCAGCATGATCCATGTCTGTTCTTGCTCCTCAGTTTGATCAGTCATGATGCACTTGAAACTGCCAGCTTTTTTAAGTGGTCCATGAATACCTGAAGACTCACATCATCTGTCAAGATTGGAGCTCCAGATTCCTGGGGGGTAAAAAAAAAAAAAAAAGCCTAAAATACTGTTGTTAATGCAGGGGATTTACTGAAAGCAAATAAAATGTTAGCGCTCTAAACTAACTGCCTGCTAAATTAACCACCTTTTTCTCCTGCAAAAGACAGGATCATTAGAAATGCTCAGCATCTCTAATGAAAAGTTGCTACTCTTTGCCAACAGCACTAACACTGTCCTCCAGTACAATCTGAACTACTGCAGAAAAGTCTGTTCTTCCTAAAGCATTAGGAATTTTGCTGCCCAGAGTGCTAGACAAACAAGGTAAACAAAAAGGATATAAAAGTCTACTATTCTCAGATAGAATTCTTAGATCTATACGTATCCATATGCTAGTTACTTCTCCCAGAATACTAAATACATTGTGATCTATTTAAATCATATTTGTAGGGAAGAGTCAAGATAAATTGCTATATCATGTCACCTGTAATCTCTAAGAACATAGGCTACATAAAATCAGCTGCTTCCTTCAGTAGCAACCAACACAGAAAATTCTCCTGGTTTGCCTGTACCCCCCCATGCAGCTGGTAAAATCAAAGGAACTAACTACTCCTTGTGGAGTAGTTTCCTTCCATTCTTTCTGTAGTTTCCTTCCATCCTTTTTAGTAGTTTCCTTCCTCCTTTCCTTCCATCAAGCTACTCAGGTCCTGAGCTGTTGATGCATCACCTCTGTTTGGACAGGCTTCGATTTCTTGAGAAAAACTTCAAAATCAACTGGATTTTGTGGAAAATTTGTGGGGATTCAGTACAAGAACAGGAACATGAATTCAGTCACCCACGCTTGAAAACTACTATTCTCATCATCTAGTGGTCCCTACCAGTACTGTTTATCTTATCAACAACCCTGGGTAAGAAACCGAAGACAAATGTAACCTGTTCTCCTTTCATGGCCACGTAGTGAAACCACACTGCACAGCAAAATATGTACATTTTACAGCATTCCCAAACATGAGCAGCTCTTTCATTGCTTACCTGTCCCCATGCATAGAGGTTATTGTGGGTCTGAGAAGGGTTCACTTTAGACAAGAGGAACCGAGCCTATTGGGACAAAAGAGCAGTAGTTTTGTAAAATGACAGACCTGTTAGCTCCCTCAAGCTTCATACTACCTTAGATCCGTTACTAGAGGTGTTCCTCTGCTTTTGCAAGCAAATTTAACTTCAAACAGGTTTCAAGTCCAGAAATAGCCCTGCTCCACAGACAACCTGTCTCCAAGGGGCACTGAGTGCTCTGCTACAACAAGCCACGCTCGCCTGGCAGGGCAGCTCTGGTTCCATGCGACATGGGCACGTCACCAGCACCGTCCCTCGTGTGCCCCATCTGCTCTTCAGAAAAGGGGTCAGTGGAGGACCAGTGTAATAGAGTCACATCAAAAATCAATACCAAATCTTTGTTTTGGACCATCAGTTCCTGCACAGGCAAGCACAGCACAATGCAGTTCCAAGAAGAACAACAATAGGAACTATTTTACATCCTCATTCAGTGTTAGAGAATAAAGGATTAGACGTGTAGTAATGATTTATTCAGTAATGCTGAATGAATAAAGAATCATTCAGCATTACTGCGGGCTAACGATAGACAGATAACAAAAAAATTTCTTTCCCACCTCTTTGGGAATAAAATGTATTTAAGTCACCTTTTCCATTTTTTTCCCATCCTCAGATTTCAAAAAGTATATCCAGCAAGTGGCTTGCTTATTAAAAGACAGAGTTGTAGTAAAAGCTCATGAGAAAATATGCAAGCTCTGTACTCTGAAGAGCTAAATTACCATTATGTTTAACTTACAGAACCATCCTTCCGGGAAAGCAGAAAGACAGCCATTTGCTCAAGGCAACAACAGAAGGAGTTCCTCCATAAACTTTCCTACCTGACTGCCACCATGTTCAGTGTGGATGTAACGTGGCATTGGGAATCTGGTCTGCAGGATTTCCTGGGCGTCATCTAGTGGGGCTTGCAGTAGGTGCTTGAAGTTTTCATATTCGGGCATGTCTTGGTATCCAGCTTTCTGCCACTGTGCAATAGTCTATTGATGGGACAGGGATGAAATAAAAACAAGACCAGAGATGACCGCAAGCCTCCCCTTTTTAACCTGCACATCTTAAAGCAGCAGAACGTTATGCGTACTTCTGCTTACAGGGTAAATGCACACTTTCACTGCTCTGGCAAAAACATTAATTTCTGTCCCTGAATTCAAGCACAGGCACTCAACACAAAAGCTGGCAGCAATTTGTACAGTGCAAAAGCAATTAGTTGAAAGTGATCTTCAAATCTTTATGTTTCAGCCTTTGCTAACATAGAAAGATGAAGAACCTGACCTGACCTTACAGAATTTTCACAGTACCTATTGTATGTACCATATGTAGGTACCAATTGTTCTACACATATACTGGTCACACATTTAGCTCTTCCTCTGTCTAAATTTTACCCACTTGCTGAGTGTCTTGCTCTGCAACAGGTAGAACCTGTTTAAGGTCACTCCAGATTTCCTGTCACTGTTGACTCAAGTGTTCAACTCCTGTTCGTGTCAATCGGATATCCCTTCTCACTTCTCAAAGGGAAAAAATCCTATATAGAGTGAAATCGGAAGCCAATAGTGGAGCTGCCAAAAACTATCATGCCAAACTTCAAGCATTCTAATAACAGTCATCAAATAACAGCAAAGTAGCTTAGTTTAAAAACAAAGGAAAGGGTTAAAATACCTCCCAAAAAGTTTTCACTAATAGGAATCATGAGGGAATAGGGATAGGAAGAATATGAGGGGGGAAAAAAGGCATTAAAGAACAGGGAGTTTTCCAGAAAAAGAAGTGGAAAGCAGCCTTCTTCTTCATCCCTTACCCTATAACTACTCTAGGATGTGATACATTTCTGTTCTTCAGTTACAGTAGTGCACTGCTCCCTTCCAAAACCTGAAAGGACTGAAATACGGATCTACAGGTCTGCATAGTACACAGGCAGACCGAAGTAGATCAAAGCCAAGGAGTAAATCTGTATGTTTAGAAAGAGCCTGTATCTAAGCATTTACCTCAGTCATGATGGAAGAAATACAGAAGCAGCTTCCAAAAGATCCAGTATTTAAAAGTAAAAACTATAAAACTGCCTGATTTCTTTAAGAGCAGTAATATTTAAGTGTCATATCCCTGCAATCAAGTCTGTCACGTACCTGAAAATCAAACTGTAACTCTTTGCCCTGCTTATTTTCAAGTTTCTCTAGCCTTTTCCATGCATGGTAAGGGATCATGTGCATTACCAAGCTAACATAACAGCTGCTACTCAGTGCAGAACACATCCTTAGCAATTCCAGTATTATTTTAATTCTGACAACATGCATACCATGTCATTAAGCGCATGTTGGCTTTGCAAGAAGCTTATTTTAAACTAACAGCAATGCTGTCCACATGCATGGCAGGAGGAAGGGAGTGCAAACAGAGAAAGAGAACGTATTTCACTGTACCTCACCAAGGTAGATAACTATCTGGAAGAAAGTATCCATCAGGAGGATTCTGTCAGGAAGTATACTGCTGCTATCCAAAAGCACTGGCTGGAGAAAATAAAGAATGAAGTCAGGCACCCCTAAGCCGTCAGAAGTATATTAACCTTCACGGTTGGCCAAACAGCTTGTTGCACCCTGCCCTTACAGGCACTGCTTGGTCAATGTGAATGCCTGGCAGAGCGTGGCCAGCCTCCTGCAGCATCACAGAATGGAGCAGCAGGTTATCAGCATCTCTAAAGGAAGCCAGAGAGCATCCATGGCCCTCCAAGCATAATTTGGTATGATCTTGAACAAAAGTATCTCAGCTTTAACAATTAAAAAAGAAATATAGAGGCCTTTTTGCTGAAATAGTGTTACTCTGACTGAATACTCGTTATTTTGGGTTGATTCACCTCTTCTGTAAAACACAGACTCACCTCAGGAGGCCCATGGAAAGAATAAGCATAAAGGATGGGCTGGATCATAATGAGAGACTGAGTC